GGCATTTGCCCCCCCCCCTCCCCCCAGCTTGTATGTTAAAAAAGGCCCTGCAGTGTGTGCATAGTGTGTGTCGTTGACAGAGGATAACCCAATAACCTAATTTTATTGACACTCTGACTCAATATAAAGTTCTCAGGAAATTCAGCCAATCGTAAAGCTGAAAAATTAACCAATGACAACATTGTAGCTATGTCTTCGCAGAGGTCCATCCCGGAAAATGATAAAATTTGCTTTAAAATTTGCATTTTGTACTATCAATATATTACATAACCCTAGAGCAGTCTCGTACCCAGGCGCTTTGGTTTGTTTACGTCGTTAAGCGCACGTGGGAAGGCACTATCCACGTGGCCCACGCAAAGGCCGCGCAAGCCATAGAACAACACAGCGCCTGGGTACGAGGCTGACCCTAGAGTGATAATTTTTGGTTCTTTTCGCAGCGGGGGCAGCTGCCCCCGTTGCCTAAACAGCAGGGCCGTAGGAAGCTCTTTTCGATTGGGGGGGCTGAAAGCGAGGGCCGAAGGCCCGAGGAAATTTTTAAATTTAGAGTCTCTAAAATGCCATTTCCTGGACTTTGGGGGAAGATTTAACAGAATTCTGATAGTCAGAAAACAGCGTTTTAGTATGTCGAAATTTACAGGAAAGTATGGGCCAGACTGTAGCATTATAAATGCGCGGCGGGAATTTTCGTCGTAAATGGCAGTTGCGCGGAAATGAAGGCAGAACATTTGAGAAAATTTCGAAAATCTGGAGTCTCTAGATGGTCTGAAATGGCATTTTCAGAGTTTTCTTTCGCAAGACCCAACACGCAAAAGACAAAATAAATCATTAGTTCAACAAAAATGTGCAGATTTTGTGGGATTTTCTTGAAAATGCGCGACAGAAATTCAGCTAAAATTTCTACGCGAGGAACGATCTGGAGTATGAGTAATATCTTCATTCTTTGCAGTTTGTCACAGATTACATGATAAAGTTTGCATGATTTTAAAAAAAGAATGATTATTAGCAAATTATT